TTAATCTCCAGGCAGGTTCCGTTCGGTGTTTTTTTCTTCCCAATTTTCATTTGATAGCCAAACAATCAATAAGAAAAAAAAGATCCGAATCATCAAGTATTAATAATATCGGGCGACCGGCCATACAAAGCCATTATTAGATTTTTTTTTTGTCGGCTTCGGGTTCACACTGTGTGTGTGTGTTTTGTATATGGAAATTTTTTTTTCTGATCGTAAAAATTTTTATTCCAATTTCACCCAATCAATCAAATTCTATTTTTGGAATTGAATCAATGACTTTTTTTTCGTTTTGTAAATTTTCAATCAATAAATTGACATCATCATCATCATCATCACTATATGGATATATCAATTATGCAATCAATGATCATTTTGAAAAAAATAAAATGATAATGAATCAATCAATTTGGATAGAGTGAGGAGAAAAAAAATGGATAATTAGATCATTGAATCATTTTGGAGTTTAAGGTGCATGAACGCCAACAACGACAACAACCACAAGCAAATGGTTATCATCAAATAAATCAAGTAATCAAATTTGTCCATGAGTTATCTATGGATTAACTTTTAATGGATCTAACAACAACAACAACAACAAAAAATCGTTGAACAATAACAAACAAAATGATAAGCAATGATGATGATTACTACCGTTGACAACATCATACAATATATTGTCAACAGTAAATTGAAAACGAAATAAAAATCAAGACTTCCTGGAACACAAAAATTGTTTGCCGCTAATGGTTGTTTTTGGTTGTCATTATAAATGAAATGCAAACAAACAAACAAACAAACAAAAAAGATACCATTTGTTTGCTAGTGTCCATTCATTCAATTGAAAAATAATGAAATGAAATTCCGGTTCTTTCATTTTGTCATCAGTTTCGATTTTTTTTTTTACATTTCATTGATTTGATTTCAACAGGTCGTTGATGAATGATATACTTACATACAAACACACACACACACACACATACATCACATGATCATATATCAACAGTGGAAATTGTTTTTTTTTTTTTTTGGCAAAACAAAAAAATATTTTCAGGTATTTCATCCTTGAACTGGCGAAAAAAAAATTCAACTTTAACTGAAAATAAGAGTAAGGTCAAAGTTCACGATGATGATAAAAAAATATATATATCTCGTTTCATTCATTGGCCATTGGTGATGACTTTTGATTTGTTTATCCAAAAGACAGCTGCTGCTTATGTATTTGTGCTGTTATGAATGGAATAAATTTTCTCATTCATTTCTTGATTCACATATATGTGTGTGTGTGTGTGTGTGTGTTAGCTAATTGAATAAGTTTGTATGGTCATTTTTTTTTGTCGTTGAAGTAAACATCATGATGGTTTTTTTCTGTAGAAAAAAAATCATTAAAAAAACAGTGAAGATTTTTGGCGCCTATATGTCCATTTATGTACATTCATAAACTGATCAAAATGTTCATTTTATTTTGATGAAATATTGCTCAACAACAACAACAACAACAAGGAAGAAAATCAGATTTCTAGACAACAACAACAACAAAATAGAAATTGTTAATGAATTCATGCTAAAAAAAATGGCAAATAGTGCGGTTAAAGGTCACGGCATTTTTCTTTTTCTCTCTGTTACTGATTCCGACAAGATAACAAGGTCTGATAATGGTTTTCAATGGTTACTGGGAACAATAACAGAAACAAAAAACGATCGATAACTTTGCTTTGCAAAAAAAAATAGCAAAATTCTTTCAAGAGAAAAAAAAATCCATAGGGTGTAACATCGATATGATGATGATGGTCATAATGAATGTTCCTTGTAATGAATAACCGTCAATCGATTAATAGCCACCAAATGAAATGAAATGAATGAAGGGTAAGAAATTTTTGATATTCAAAAGAACTAAAAATATGAAAACTATGAAATATATGCATCGATGATGATGATGATGATGATAAGAAAAAAAATAATGGAAAAAGATATTCATGATGAATATAAAGTAATGAATGCTCATGGCAAGAAGAAAAAAAATAAAAAAAAGGCCAGATGTATTCAAAGGTTTTTTTCCGTTCTCTCTCTCTCTCTCTCTCTTTCTTTTATTAATAATGACCGAAAAACAAAACAATGACCGAAACAAATTGAAACATTTCCTGTTTTTTTTCTTCATTTGTTCATCATGTTTGTTCAATAAGTAAATGTGTGTTTGGTTCAATTTTTTTTTATCATTTTTCCACCAATGAACATGATTTTGAGGAAATGTGTGTGTGTGTGTGTGTGTGTGTGCGCCACGTGTTTGACAATTTGATTTTTTTTTCAAAATATAAAAAGATGATGATGTAATTGACAAAAAACATCACATCACATTTAAATCAGATTTTCAAATTGAATATCAAACACACACACACACACACATACACAGAGACACTTATTGAAAAACATCATACATATAGAAAGATTATTATGTACACGAGCATGAAAAATAAATGAATAGATCAAACCGTAAACGATAAATGGATTATTAATAATAATAAAAAAAATTGTGAAAACAAAAATCATCATCATCATCATAAATTGAACGATGATTTCAATGATGATCAAACAACACTGGAAAAAAAACCACTAACAGCAGCAGCTTGTTATATGACAGCTATATATAGTGGAGATCAATGTCACTATGTATTGCCATTGTTTCATAATTGTGATCACAGTGAATCACTATATACTAACTTGAAACACAAGAAAGAACGATAAAATGAAACAAAAGAAATTTTAGTAGAAAAAAAACTTGAAACTTGAAAAATGTTAATGATAATGATGTGAAATAGAATGGAAAATTTTCTTGTATGACCAGAATTATATATGAACACAAGATTTTGAACAATAATAATGATGATGATGATGATGATATAATTGCGTGTGTGTGTAACCCTTTCTAAAGTTCAAACATACAATCATGGTGGCCATCATCTTCAAAATGGTATAATGGTATTCATCAAAAAGTAAAAAATAAAAAGTAATTCGCATAATGTAATTCAGAAGAAGATAGAAATATTTGAGAATCAAAAAAATTCATCATCATTGATAATGATGTGTTTTATTCTCTTTTGGTAGAGCTTGAAAGGATTGTGTGCCTCATATACAACAACAAATAATATCATTTTGCCATTCAATCGAAGGTCAAATATACTATAAACTATAGCCAGGTAGGTGGTAGCCAAACAATGATGATGATGGCAAGTTTGTTGCAGGTAATTGGATGTTATATACTTTTTTTATGATTATAATGTTAATCATTTCATGGAATTTGGTTTTTTTTAACTCTTCACAGTCTACACACACACACACACAGAATTCCATTCAAAGTTGCATAATTGAAAATTTTTTTCCACCGATTAATAATGGCTTAAAAGCTTGAAATCAAAAACTTGATTAATACTCGATTGAATTTATTATTCTTCAATAGATTGATTGATTGATTTTGAATTTTTATTGGAACTAAATCATGAATGTATATCTTTACATCTCTTTCTTCATTAATTTTGGCATATGTAACGATTTTGTTTCAACATTTATAAAATGGCTACTGTGTGTGTGTGTGTGTGTGTGTGTGTAAAGTGTTTGTCTGGTTTTTTTTCATATAGACATTATTATTGTTATTATTATGATAAATCGAATGCAAAATTTATATGTGAATAAAAAAAAAAAATTTCAAGGTAAACAAGTTTTCGTTTCAATTCGAGAATATATTAAATGTTCATCATCATCATTATCAGTGTTCCATTCGTTTTTTTTCGATTATGATTGGATACACACACACACATACCACTCATAGAAATAGACTTTTTTTTTGAAGAAAAAAAAATTGAATGAAAAAAAAACGACACGATTAAAAACAATGATGATGATTAATTCTATTGAAGTGAAAAGAAAAAAATTTTCGACCTTGTCTCAAAATCATCATCATTTGGTTGTGCAAAATGAGCTAGACAATTGTATTTTAGACAGTTTTTTTTCTGTCTTCAACACATTTGTTTTTTTTTTTGATACATTCATTAATGATGAAATAAAACATCAATCAACAGGTGGGTATAGACGGAAATAACACTTAACCAATTCAATAGTTGAAAATTGTCACATGATAATATGATCAATTTCGATTTTGATGTTGAAAAAAAAATTCAAAAACTTTTTCTAACGATGAAAAATATCTCAACTATTAAAATCATGAAATATAAATGACTAGCGCCATCTATAAATGTAGAAATAAACCAATAGAACATTATGCTGACACTAGATGGCGAGTGTAGTATCAAAAAAAATTTATGGATATTTATTATGATGATAACAATGTAAATGGGCCAAAATCAATGACAAAAAAAAAAATTGAGAACATTGATCTATTTTTTTTCTTATTTTCATTCATCATCAACAACAACAACAACAATTAATGAGATCATGGAATTTGACACGATTCTTTGGAATTCTATTCTATTCTTTTACGAATCATGATGATAATAATCGGAAAAAATGAACAAGAATTGATATGGCTAGATGAAACAAATAAGGACAATCAACTTTTAAAATACTGTAATAATGGTAAAAATTAATGGAATGTGGTGGGGGCGTTGAATTGCAATTATTGAATGCAGAAAAAAAACTAGAATAAATTATTGCAACTAAAAATAGAGATCAACACAATTTAAAAACAATGATCACTAATTGTTTTCTAATGATGAATCTTTCAAGCATCCGCTGATTTTTTTTTGTTGAAAACTTTTAATTGCTCTGAATGAAATGTCATTATCATCAAAAAAAAAAAACCAAGAAAAAATGGAGCAAGACATAAAACAAGGCAAAGAATTTTTTTTCCTAATTATCACCGAAATTCAGTCATAACAAACATTATCAACTTTTTTGCGAACCAAAAAAACCTTCTGGAACGAATATTATTGCTTGCATATTCAATTGAAAATAAAAAGTTTCATTTTTTTATTTTTATTTTTGACACCTACTTCATGACGAGCCAAAATGACACTCCAATCGGCACCGATCGTTTCCGGTAGCAGACATAAATTCGTTTTAGACATTGACATTTGAAATGATGATGTTGATGTAATTGTTATCGATGGCTCATCAATTGTTTTCATTTTACTTGAATCTAGTGATTCATGATGATGATGATCCCCATTTGGCTGTTTCTGACTATTGTTATTGATCACTTGATCGGCCATTGAATGTATAGTGGTCGATATCGGTTTCATTGACATCATTAATTCTTCAGCTTCATCATCATCAACTAGATCTTCATCGATGATAACTTGTTGTTGTTGTTGTTGTTGCGTGCAACAGGTTTTATCACTTTGTGATTTATCATTAGATAATAATCGTTGATGATGATGATGATCAATAGAATCATCTGAATTGACTATCAATGTACGATCCAAATCAATTTGGACATTATTATTATTATTATTATTTTATTCAAAATATCACCATGTGTTTTTTGATAATTATCATTTTCATGATCAGATTCATCAAAATCATCATCACTTTCATCATCGACATTTTCATCATCATCATCATCGGATTCATTGGCATCATGAGCAATTTTGGCACAATAACAAACTGAATCCAATTGATTTTCAATATAATCAAGCCATTCAATAAATTCGGCCACTAATGCTTTGGCAGTATATGATGTTGGACTTGTTGTTGTATTAATCGTCATTGATTCATTATTATTCGTTGTGTTTGAATTTAATGATGAAAATTCTTCATCCTATAGATTCGAAAAGAAAAACAGAAAACAAAATTTAGATTGTAACACAAAACAAAAACAATTCAATTAATTACCGATTGGCAATATTTTAGCGAAAAATCTTCTTCAAGCGAAAGACCAAGACCACTACTTGCAGCTGATGATGGTGAACGCATTGAAGTAAAATCATTCGATTGTTGTTGTTGTTGTTGTTGTATATGATGATCACAATGATTATTATTGGCAGACATTTGTAAATGTAATTGTTGTTGTTGGCAATTTGTTAATGAATTTAATTTCAAACACGATGATGATGATGATGACAAAGAAAGCTCTGATTGTTGATAATCTAGTGTTGATGAACTAGATATGATGATGATGATGATGATGATGATGATTATAACTGTTTTCCTCTAATGCTTCCTATTTTAAAAATGACAAAAATGTAAATAACAATTATGCAAACAGAAATTTATCATAAATACCTGACATGTGGTTATCAGATCCATATCTTTCATCAGATATTCATAATCATCATTGACAAACGATGATGATGATGATGATGGTGATTGTTGTTGTTGCTGTTGTTTCATCATTGTCGATGATAATGGTGATGCAATGATTGTCTTCATGATTATGAGGATTGGTTAATTCGAAATAAATATGTAAAATGGAAAAAATGGAAACAAAATCGATTTTTGTCGATAATAAATACAATTAATAAATACTGGTAAAATGAATTATGATTTGGCCGTAATTTTATAATGGTAATCGATCATTGATGAAGTGTTAAAAAAAATGGGAATGATGATGATCTGTGCGTGTTGAATTCGGAAACACAAATTATTTTAGAAGAAAAAAGATATCAAATATGATTCATGATGATGATGATGATGATGATGATGATGGCAGTGATTGCAATCTGAATTTTCGTAAATGACATCAACGACTACAATGAATTTTATTCATAATAAGATCATGATGATGATGATGATGATGAATCAAAGATCAGAAAACAACAGAATTTCTTTTTTCTTTCAATAGAATCGAATATGTTAAAATTTCATCTTCCGTTGTCTCGTGTTTGTTGATGATGATGATGATGATGTTAATCTACTGAACGAATGAATCTTGATGACGATTATTGTTGTTGTTGTTGTTGTTTGTCGTTGACTTTTATTCGGATTTTAACTTAACGGGATTTTTTCTTTCTTTTTTTTCGTTCTTTCTCATCAACGGGAGAAAAACGAGAAAAAAATTTCCGTTTTTTTAGACCGATGACAGACGAAAAAATTTTTTTGTTTTATCTTCTTGATAGAATATACAATGATGTTGATTGTGGTAGAGGTATTGTGGTGTTTGTGGTTATAATTTGTTTGTGGTATTAGTAATAGTAATAGTAGTAGTAGTGGTGGTGATGATGATGATGATGATAATTAGTTTGACGACAACAAGATTAAAAAGGTGCATCAATTATAAATTAAATGATAATGATGATGATGATGATGATGATCATCACGAAGATATGGAAAAACACCTATACAGGAAAATATCCCGTTCTTTTTTGTTGTTGTTATTGCTGATGTCGTTGTTGTTGTTGTGGTTGTTGTTGTTGTTGTTGAAAAAATGGATAAATTATCCGGAATATACGGAAAAAATTTTTTTTTCATTTAAAATAAATGACGATATAACCAACCCAACACACACACACACACACACACACGCAAACCGGAAAACCAAAAAAAAAACTGGCGGTATTTGATGATTATATTTTTTTCTGGCTATTTTTTGCAAAAAAATTAGCAGAAAATAAATCAACACTTGGATGATGTAAAAAAAATTTGATTAAAACACTAAATCTTCAATAATAGCGTGTGTTCATAAATGCAGTAATAACGACAATTCTTTCAATTATTCTTCCGGTTAATGGTAATTATTTATTCATCATTCTTCTTCTTCTTCTTGTTGTAGTTGGACACAAAAAATATTCATCCGATTTAAAATGGTGGTGACAACTTACAAACGGCGGAAATTGTTGATCCAGAAGAGAAAAAAAAACGTTGATGATTACCGGAGACAGAAGAAAACTATGAAAAAAAATGGAAAAACAAACCAAAATTAGAAAAAAAATTATAAATTAAATGAAAATTTTGAACAAAAAAAAAAACATTTGAAACACACGAACACCACCACTGTACAACATCGATGTTGTGTTTAAATGATGATGATGATGATGATGATAAAAATGGAACCATAACGGATGTACACAGTGAATAGAAATTAAAACAAAAATCCAACACCATTAACGTGTTTTTTTTATATATATTTAAAATTCAAAACAAAGCAAACAAAAAAATCTTAATGGTTGCTGTTCCATCAATTTGAAAATGGATAATGTTGAAAGCTTTTTGTTGTTGCTGCTGATGCTGCTGCTGTTGAAAGCTTGTTGATTTTTCGCTTGTTGCTGCTGATGGATGGATGGATGGATGGATGAATGAATCGAACAATCTGTCTATCTGAATGTCCAACATTTTCACTTTTTTGAAAAAATTCCATACAGAAAACAAATGTTTTCAAAATTTTTTTTTTTTTGAATTCTAAAAACATTGAAACAAAGCAACAAAATACTCAACATGTGGTGCTCTCATTTGAACGACAGAACAACATCCCCAAAATGCAACAGCAACAACAACAACACAAATGGATCAATCGGTTTGATTGATTGATTGATCGATCGATGGATTCGATGACAAACGAATCGAACGTAGGCCAATTCGATCAATTTGATTCAAAAAAAAAAAACATTAACACACACACACACAACAAGAACAAAACAAAACAAAACAAAACAAAAAGATCATCAAGATTTGATGTTTATTTATGGGAATGATGATTAATAAATAAAAAAAGAAAAAAATGAAACGAAGGAAATTCAACGAGGCGTTTGATTTTTGTTTTCCTCTCTTCTTTCTCTCGATATACATATCGAACGATCAATGATCGAATAATGTTTTGTTTTCGATGATAACACCTTGAAAAAATGGCAGATTTTTCAAAAAAAAAAAAAAAAATTTGGATTTCATTTTTTTTCTCTTAATTATCATCATCATCATCATTATCAATTGTCAATAAATCGTGTGTACAATAATAATATGAAATAATACACACTGGACACGCAACCACTGGGATCAACGTGTTGTGTATATATTATTGACCACAATGCCAATATTTGATTGAGAATCAGATTAATTATTTGAATTTTCTAACGTTTTAAGTTTTGCAATAAATCTGAATTCAAAATAGGTTGATCACCACCACCACCACCAATCGACAAAACAATTATTTTGTTTTTTGTTTTTTCTTATCTGCTTCTTCTCCATTTTCATCGTCATCATCATCATCATCATCATCATCGTCGTCATTTATTATCATCATCAAATAACAATAGTGGTGTCGAGAGAAAAAAACCACAGAAAACTATTTTCAATAACAATAAGAATTATGTGTGTTTTTTGTTGTTGTTGTTGTTGGAACGTGTTGGAACACCTGGCACCTTGTGCACAAGTGTGTGTGTGTGTGTGTGGGTCACAATCGTGTTCGCCAATGAATTAACAAGTTATCGACCGATGATGATGTGATGATGATGATGACAATGGAACAAAACACTGAAAGACACTTGACAAACAAAAAACACTAGAAACACAAAATTCACATCGATCAATCGATAAAAATTTTTTTTCATCAAAAGTTTAGATTCGATATTTTTGTTGTTGTTGTTGTTTTTTCGTCTAGTTATTTTTTTTTTTTGTTTGATAATAATCAAAGTGAATTTATGAACAAACGAACGAACGAAAAAAAAACGAAAACGAAATTTACATAAATAAACTTACGTAATAAACAACAACAACAAAAACGACATGATGATGATATGATGGTTATGTTGTGCCAACAATTCATGATCAAATGGCGTATTCCACCAATGATAATAATAAAATGAAAACGCATTATTGACCCCTTTTTTTCTACTTATTCAATAACACTGTATGTGTGTGTGTGTGTGTGGATGAGAAAAACGTAAAAATGTTTTATAATGGAACGTGTTTGTGTATTTTCACAAAAAAAACTTGTGAAAAATCTTGTCGATGATGATGATGATGATGATTTCATTTGAAATATTTGAAAACAAACTCACTGTCACTCTTTTTTTATATTTTATTTTTACACATTCATTCATTCATTCAATCAATGTGTTTCACGTTTGACAATAACATCAATAAATTTTGACAATGAATAAGAGAAAAAAAAAGATTAAAATCAAACGAAATCGGATCACACATAAATTCAATATCATCATCATCATCATCATCTTCTTAAATGATCTTAGGATGTAAATCAAAGTGCAAAGTGAAAAGTGAAACAAAAAGGAAAATTTATTCGTTCATTTTGTTTTGTTTTTTTTTTGTTATCTTTGCTTTCGTTATAAATAAATAAATAATATGAAAAGTCATTGTAGTTGTTGCTGATGTTTACAAGAAAAAAAAGTAAATCGTAGTAAAAAAAAAAGAACAAATGCCGATTGAATGCAGTTCCGAATGAAGATTATGATGATGGAATCACCACCAACACCACCATCATCATCATCGCCATCACAAGGATTCTATATTTAGAATTATCATTGAATTTGTGTGAAAGTAATTTTTTTTTTTGCTGTTGTCTTCTGAAGCTTTCTAAACACAACACACACACACATGCTGTAATTGAATTTCAATGAAACATTCGACAAAACCCAAAACAAAAAACCCCGATTGAATAAATGAGTCCAGTGAACTTCATGACCAAAACATGAATGATACACAAACACATGTGTGTGTTTGTAACATGTGTGAAAACATGGCTAAAAAATTTTTTTTTTCAAAGAAAAAAAAACTAAACCATCAAATTCGAATATATGGTCCAAGTATAAAATCACGATCATTATGGAATTTCAATGACTCGTTTTTGTTGTTGTTGTTGTTCTTGTTGTTCGGTCATCGTTGTTGAGATTTCTGATATTTTTTTTTTTTGTTCTATTTCGTTAATCGTGTGGTTTCTGTTTTCATTCATAATTTTTCCAATAATCACACACACACACACACACACACGCAACCACTCTTTTTTGGAGATTATTTCAAACAAATCTCTATTTCTGTAGCCATTTTCATCATTTTATATATATATATAATATAATATAAATTCAAAGGTCGCCCAAACAATATTGGTGCAGTAGTAACTAAATGACCGTTATGGAAATTTGCATATGGCCATATTTTTATATGCTGTTGTTGATGATAATTTAAATCCCACCTAAAACAAATGTCATCATCATCATCATCATCATATATAAAATGACGAGTGAAATTCAAAAAACTGACATTATGACCAAATTTAGACAAACAACATCTGACATGACAACCATTTTGGTGAATGGAAAAAAAACGAATGACGATGATAATATAATAATTATTCTTTGGAGATTTTAAGGAGATTAAGTGAACAATTAGTATAAAAAAAAACACAGATCTCATTAGATATTCATATTCAGCAAAATAAAAAACAAAAAACAATGTATCAAAGCAAAGCAAAAAAAAAAAAAATTTGACGAAATCAAATTTAGTCCAGCTATTATACAATGGAGAATCTGGTATTATTTCAATGATGATGATGATGATGATGACAGGTTTTTATCAATTTTTTATACTTGTAATATGAATTTTGTAATTAATGAATGATTTTTATCATCATCATCATCATTCAGTTTAATCAGACAACATTACAAACAAACAAACAAAAAAAACTGTAAAATTCAATTCATCATCATTATCAAATATCATTGTCATCGTCATTTGAAATGAAATGACAATGATGAATATTTAAAAAGAAATGTTCAAAGATAGCAGCAGAACAGCAGCAGCAGCATCAGGAATAGAATAGTCACGCGTGAAAAAGTGGTAAGATAATCACATTTTTATATATATTGAAAAAAAAACAGAAAATCTTTACATTTTTCAAATTGAGATCATTGCCATCATATATATATGTCTTTGTCGTCGTCGTCGTCGTTCAACAAACGGAATGATCTGTTGATCATCATCATGTTGTGAACAACAACAACAACAAGTTAAATCTGCCATATTGTACATATACAACATACACATACACAGACACAGCAGAGATTGGCCATCCAGATGATGAACTCGAGATAGTGAAATATTTTACTGGTGAAAAAAAAGCATTT